CACATAAAATATGAATTTAGAAAATCGCAAATCCGCGCGACATGGGCTTCCGTCATGTCAATTTTGGCCACTGAGATTGGACAGATTGTAATTCCTTTTGAAGTGCAATTGCAAACTTTCTTAATTTTTCGCATTTCAGAGCTAACAAGGAAATGGTCAGATATCGCAGTGGTTGATCCAGACAAGCTGCATACCGTTAGATGCAGCATGAAGCGCTGGCTCTAAATCTGTCTTTCTTCTCTGCTTATCGCTTTTCCGGGCGAAGCTATAAGCCATTAAAAGCCAAATTTTTGCGAAGAAATTATGCGTGAAAGTGGAAATCTCGGCGTACAGAGCCACGTTCGGCTTAATGCTGGGCCAAAATTTGTAGCTTACTTATTTCAAACTCTCAAACCCTAAAGCTGAGCTGAAATTGCAACAATATGCTCAATTACACAGTTTTTATGTACGATTTCTCGACAATAAAACTGCTTGCAGCTTCGTCCACAGAAGCGATAAGCAGATATGGAAGACAGATTCGAAGTCAACGTTTCATACTGCATTGAATGGTATACAGCTTGTTTGGTTTGACCACTTCGACTTCTGACCATTCCCTTGTAAGAGGAATTGCGAGATACGTATTCAAAATTTATACTATCTGTAACCAAACTACACATGCACTTTGATGGAAATCTATGGTTTGATCCCGTCATGGTGTCAGAAAGACAATGACGCACTCAGCGGCGGCACGATTAGGCGAAAGCGTATCTATTGCAGAGGTGGTGTACAGCAGCGTCCTTATTCGAAATTGTATGGTTGTCTACTTTCTCGCTTACGAGTTTTCCGAAATGCTCTGGGCGCATTCTAAGTGGAAAAAGTAAAAAAATATAATTTGGAAATAACTTGAGATGGAACATAATTTACACTCTGACTTGAAGTATAAGGTCTATGAGAACGCACAGCAGTTGAAGCATGAACTAATATAAAAGTTCGTAGTCATAGGCAGCATAGACCGCCTAAGCTTATGTTTTACGCAACCACTTTTTCCGACGAGGACACCGTCATAATACTAAGAATGCAAGACTGAACTTTCTAAGGCATTCCGTCATTATAGTTTGACTCTAATACGCTTGACATGGCATTAAGCTCCATCCTATATAAACCATTTGCCTGCGTATCATCTGTCCATCCGATACCGTGTTGAGACAAAGCTCATGACCACCTGATATAGCGCTTATTATTTGCTCACAAGATATCTCTACAAGTTCATTTCCATTTCTTGATTATCTCATAGATTTTAATCCTATGACTCAAACAGAGGAAATCTTTATTTCGACAGGGAAATGAAATGGTTCAGTGATTCCATTCATGTGTTTTTGCTAAAGCTCGATTGTCGTTATGAAAGATCATACCTCTATGATTTGCTGAAGTCATATAGGAAGGGGGGTGAAAACTGCACTCAATGGACATTTGCTTGCAGTTCGAAGCTGGCATTCCTGTCGTTCGCCTCTACGTATTTTTGTTTGTTTTGATTACTGCAGTAGTAAGATGCTTGTTGTGGCGTGTTAAGCTATACATCGGTTTGGGTTTTTTTCAACCGGCCAACTTTTCGGCAATACCCACATCTCCAGATGGAACTGTGTAATGCATAAGTAAAACAATCTACCAAAGACCGCCCTAAAACTCAAAAAGTTGCCTGATATCTTAGCAGATCAAGCACTTGAATGTGAAATACCGAGAACTCATGATTTTAGAGACAGAGTGATGAGGTTGCCTTCAGAAGACTGTTGTATTATTTCGCTAGTGTGGTCCAGTAGACCAGAGGACCTGCTATGAACTAGCGTTCGGCACCGATATCGGCCCTCGTCATGTCCAAGATAACTCTATGCTCGTGCGAGAACCACTCACAATGTACACCAAGGACAGTAGGATCTTCGTTTCCGCTTCCTAAAGCAAGAGTTTCGTCGCATCAAGATGAAGGAACAACTTAATGCTAGTTGATAGCCAGTCCTCAATGTCGGAATGCAGCAGTCCGAGAATGATTTCAAAAGACCATGACATTGTAATTCAGCAGCAAAAGACGCAGTGATTTTCACCCTAGACAAGTCAGAAAAGTGGTCGTCGGATTTTTGTACAGAACAACGGCCAAGGTTTTTGCTACAGAATAAAAAGCTCATGTCAGAAGGCTAGTGCAGCGCGGACATATAGGATTGGATGATGCCAGAGATGAGGGGCACTTACGTCGATGAAAAAATCCTTGCTTCCCATTACTTCGGAGGTGAGCGAAACAGGGTGCCCTCTGTGTATCCACGGCAAAGAGCCCAATGGGCTCAAATCTCGCAATCTGAGCGAGCATCGCTAAATGACAACTTAGATTACAAGTGGAGGTCACGATTTTAGAGTATGAATACGAAATCCTGGCGAGCGAGGGAGGCTTTTAATTTGCCGCCAAAAACCTTTGGGATTGAAAACTTAAGTGCATTTTCATTTAGAGTCGGCAACTATCAGAACTTTTCCGGTTCATGAGTTCAAGATGATATCAGGCCACTAACAATAAGCATATGGCGGAATTAGAGCTCATCCACTGTTACAGTGGTCTGCAGCCTATTTTGCCAACACCGGTTAGGTAAGTAATAATCCTGCATACATTTTCGAGTTCTTGAAAGGAAATGGCAAGAAAAGAAGTAGCCAATCCATACGAGCTGCGCCTACGCATACGCATAGCATACGAGCATACGCCTTTGTGGACAAAGCTATGAACAGTTCTATTGCGAAATAATCGTATATAAAAATTGCGAATTTAGCTCATTGTTGCATTTTCAGGTCATGGGCTTAATATTAAGTAACCTAGCTGCATGTTTCGACCTAAAATTGAGCCGAACATGGCATACTGCCATGTTCAACTTTTGTACTACACTTACATGCATGATTTCTTAGCAAAGTAAGGGCTTTTAACGGCTCATAACTTCATCCACAAAGGCGCTAAGCAGGTATGGAATACATATCGAAGTAGTGTTTTACGCTGAATCTAATGGCACGCAGCTTGCTTGGATGGTCACTTCGATAACCATCTCTTTGTTAGTTTGATACGCCTTGTGGTTTTAGAAGGCACCTATGCATTCAGTTGCTGTGAAAGGAAAAAAAATATAAAAACTAAATTTTAACAATAATGTAACCGAAGCGATAGCATAACATAATATAATCGAAGCGTTAGTGGAAGATTACTAGACTATAGTGGCTCGTCAAAGGCTCTATATGTAGTCCCAGTTTCACATGTACAAAGAATGCCCGCTCAGTCGAAGTACCATTCCAGATGCGATGGACAGGTTTCGCAGAACCTTACCAAGCGCGCCTTGCCTTGAACATGTATACAGTCTGCCCCAATCCCAACCAGGCCAAAATTGGCATGGCGGGAGACCGCGTCGCTAGGGTTTCGCGGTCACGCCAACGGCCTGCTTCTCTGCCCTCTCTTCAATCTTTTTGCTCTCTCCGACAGCGCTGCACATGCAGCGCAGACCGCTAGCGCTGCGAGCGCGCAAATTTATTATATAATTTATTTATTTTATTTACGCAAATTTATTTGTACGCCGACGGTTCGGCCTGATCCCGATTGGAGCAGACTGTAGGTGAGCGGTTGTCGCGAAGCACTATAGGAGATTCCATTCGCTCATGGTTTCCGGTCCAAACTCATGTTATCTCCAGCAGCATATGCATAAATCAAAAGTGACTACAAAACATTATAAAAATAGTCTGAAGAGGGGCGCGATCATTGTCGGTTGTATACAGCTTATTCGCTTCGGGACCCCGGTCTCAGCCGCTCCGCGCATTATGTTCAAAATTAGGCGCGCACCTGGATGTATGGGTTCCTTCATACTACGCCGCAAGACGCCGCAGCCTCCCGCGTGCGCCGCGTACGCCGCAGCACGCAGCGTACGCTACTGCGGTCGCGGCGAGAATACGCCTATAGCCTAAGGCATACCTCACGCGATTTTAGTCGCCGCGCGATTTGGCACTACAACGATTCTCCATAGCTGGTCGTAAACGCACTTTGCTTGGACCAGGCTTGCTGTCAATGTTACAATTTACGGAATCTACGCACCCATGCATCTGAGAGCCTCGCATGCTTAACCTCTAGACATCTGGCAAATCGCCAAGTCGCGAGGATGTGGCGATTTCGCGAAATCGCGAGAGGTATGCCTTGGGCCTATGCCAGCACACTCTGTCTAACACTGTATTTCTATATCCGCTACTCCCTGTGTTTTCCGAGTGTTCATAGCGAGACTGTGCCGCCAAGGGCGTACTTTCACTGCGAGCAGCGTACGCTGCGTGCTGCAACATATATGCCAAAGGGTTCCTTCATACTACGCCGCAGAACGCGGCAGGCTGCCGCGTTCTGCGGCGTAGTATGAAGGAACCCTTTGGCATATATGTTGCTGCATCCAATGATGAATGCTTTCTTAGATACAATTCTTATTTGCTTAACGCTTTTTGGAAAATTCAAAAGTTTGAGCATCTTAACACATAACTTAGCATAGGAGCAGTTCCATGCTATCATAACAGGATACAGTCGTTATGATCGTTATTGTGTAAAGCTCAAAACATCCTGAAAGCAGCGTTTTTGCGTTTATCTCCTTGACATCGTAGGTTCGAAACGTGCCCTGCACATAAAAATTTAAGATCAGCATCATAGCTCTCAGCAACATGTATAACGTCTCGAAAGGCGAAAGGCCGCTTTCTAAAAAGGCATCCACGTTAGTACTTCATAACCGATCACGTAACCAAAATATGATGACGCTTGGATTGTTCGTCGGATCAAAGGTTGAGGGAGAGAGCATGAAGGCGCTGTAAATTTGATCGCATAGTCTTTCCACTGACTTTCCCATGACAAACAATTTTTTGTTGCACATATGACTAGGTTCCATGATTTTATTCAAATTCGAACCCACACGAACGTGCAGGACAATGGCAGATAGATTAGCAGTCAAACCAAGAGAGATTTCTATACATGTCAAATCACGCATTTTTTGTCATTAGACCACAGCAGGCTTCTTCAACTTCTTCTAATCGGGAAACGTACGGCAACATCAGTAAGCAGATTTGATTCTGGAAATTTGTTCTTACATTAGCGGTAATATGCAACAGATTATACCTTTCTTTACTGCTCCAGCAACATTTTGCAGCTCATGATAGGGGCGATAAGCCTAGAGTACGGGTTAATATTTTTGTGTTGAAATCGGTGTGCCTGATGATCAAAAACTAAAATAAACTCACGATGTGCGGATGGTAAGCAGGAACAGCGTGCATTATAGGTGCTACGGGGTGAACATAGGGGACCGCTAACATGTTTGGAGAAAAAGCTACAAGCTCTCAAATGTCATGTAGGAAAAACACTCATTAAATTTTTAGAAACTGACCAGGATAAGCGTAGGGGAGGCTTGCAACGTGTCTTGAAAACAACTTTCATAATTTAGGTAATCGTCTATATGTTTGAACTCACCTTTCACCAAAGACAATAGTGACGATGATTACAATGAAAGTAGACTTCATCATGCAATGATGACGATTCTAAGAGTGATTGATGCATTTATATACCCCTATGCTGCACACTCTTGTGTTAAAGTACGATAAGAAGCTGAGTTTCTCCAGCACAAGGGTTAGTTTCTGCCTCTTGAACGATGCTTCACTGGCCTTATTGACTAACAAAGTCGAAGTAGTCATTGAGATTCTAACATCAAGCATGGAGTGCAAAACTAAAGGTTTAGAAAAATTCTCACTATAGTTTATCAGAAAGTGTTTATCATAGAGCTTCTTCTTACCAACAAAAGCAATTACGTCAAGAATTACAATTCATTCCACATGCAAGAAATCCATACGTTAGATAGGTTGGAAGTAACCTTGAAACATATCAAAACTAAAGGAAGATGAGATGGTTTTTATAGGTATAACAAAACGGATGCTTATAACTTTACAATATACAGATACCCACATAGATTGTGTAATATATCAAAGTGTGTAATACATCAAAGCATATTATAATCAATACGATAATAGGGGAAGTTGTTAGAATCAACAGAAACAGCAATTATGTGGATTTTTCCGATAGAATTTTTAAACTTTGAAATACATATTTTCAATGGTTAGAGCGTTGTTGAAGTACAAACATTATGCCATGCCCTCAAAATAAAAGGCCTTACATCATACCAAAGTATGGCTTTCCCGAAGCGATACATTTTCTCATGAATGAAATTAAACAAAATGAATGACCTACTACAGGGACTTGAGAGGGGCGCGGATAGGCGGCGAGGGAACGGGCGAATTTGTAATTGAGCTCAGCTCTTTTGTACGCCTTGGACTACTTTCATGTCAGCACTACCTTATTCTTCTGCAGTATTTTTGAGGCTTTATCGTGAGCTACTGTGAGAGGGTTCTAGAGCCCGGGGCGGCAGGAAAGCCACACATGTGGTCCATTTCAAGCTCCCAAAATCACAGTGTGAAAAATAGACTTGCATATTGGATGCACTCGTTCTGCATCATGGTATTTCTCTGCTATGTTTTATCTTTCTGAATCTTTTCTCACTGTTGAATTATTCCCGCTCATAATCTCTCCCATGCCTTCCTGGCTACAATCTTATAGGCAGTGTCCAGGCAAATTTGGTGGCAAAGCGCAAATTGTTCAATCACGGCTGAGAAATCCGTCCCCAAAAACCACGCGCCTGCGCCGTGACCGTAACCCAAAAACAGCTTCGCTCTCAACACTACGTTCGCGCTAGGACCAATCTTGAGTGCTACGGTCACGGAGCAGCAGCGGAGTGTGTGTGGATGGATTTCTCAGCTTTGAACGCATTATTTGCGCTGCGGTTTGGGCACTGCCTTAGGTAGAGCCTCCTCGACGGTTTCCAGGCAAAAAACTCATATGCCCAGACTTGTCTGGACACTGCCTTTATGTTATGATGACTGCATTGATTGCATGTTTTATCTCTAGAATTTTGTGCCACATCTGATATCTCACTTCCCCTGCCTTCGCAATTGCAATATCGCTCACAGCCGTTTCTCTCACGTTATCGTAGAAGTTTCTGAAACAACTGTAATTTCTGTGCTTGCGCATTCGTTCATTTCTGAAATCTACTAAGCATTTGCGTCAGTTTACCGTAATCCTTACTGGTACTCCAACACACATTTTCGTGTAGTCTCAAGTGATATCTGAATCCTTTATCTAGTCAAATAAAATGACATGCTTCTAACTTTGCACACAGACAATATCAAACTTTTTTATAATTTAGATAGAAAATTGAAAGAACTCCAATTTCATTTAGGAAAGTTATTGTACTCAAACAATTAAAGGCAGTAGGCCGGCATAACTCAACAACTCAGGATTTTAACGCGATAGGTTCCTTATCGCCCAAGAAACAGTGCAATCCTGGTTGCACAGCATGCCTTCATGAGGTGCACTTTATGCTGCAATTCCTGTGATATATCTTCTTTTCATAGGTTAAGATAGATATTTGAACGCAGTCTTTGGGCTAATTTTAGCACTAAACTTCCTTTCGCTAATTCACAGGCCCTTACTGCATCATTGACAGAATGCAGCTCATAGAATCATTTATGGCCGAGAAGGTCAAGTTTGAGCTTAGGCTCCCGCCAGAGTGCCGAAGCCATGCCAGCGCTACGCCAGCGCCGAGCCAGCGTTTCGATCGATTCACGTGTATTTCGTTGGGGCGGGGCTAGCTGACCTAGTTCTCAACAGGTAGATGTTGCCAACGAAATACACGTGTATCGATCGAAACGCTGGCTCGGCGTGGCGTAGCGCTGGCATGGCTTCGGTACTCTGGCGGGAACCTTATGCTGAGACCGTACTTTCTGCCACATTGAGTAGCGCAATTTGTTTCACTCGGGAAAGGCAAACTCTCGCTTATAAGTTGGATTTCTCAGCGCAAATGAATCACATGAGCTGGCGTTTAGAAATGGTTTAGATATTTTGAGGTCCCACAATTCTCATGTGATAGGTCTCCTAGGCAGTAGACACATGAGCGCAGGTGTGGGACTTCAAAGTGTCAAAAGTTGTTTTTTTTTTTGTTAGAGTGTGTGTAGCTACTATTAGGGAATAGCTATTAGCTATAAGCTTACTACACTCACTATATAGCTACTACACTGTATTAGCTCACATCGTTCTTAGTACAGTGTGCATACCAAAAGAAAAAACGCGTGGTGGAAAATATGTTTCAGGAGTGGTTACTTTACTTCACTCGTCAATGAATTGAAAAGAAGATATTAATGTCAATTGCTCTATTTGATATACAGGGTGTCCGTAAAGTATGTATACACTGTTTGATCGTTAATATCTTTCTTCCCAACAGGTCTTTTGCCTTGCTTCAGGTACCGTTTTGTAGAGCTGGCTTCACCTTAGATTTGCAGTATCGAATCACCCATCTCTCCTCATTGCTGCAAGATTACGGTAAAACCTTCAAAGAGGGTTTTGAGCAATGAAAGGCCATATTTTGTCTCAGAAAGGAAACAAACAGCCTGAAAGCTTCACTAGGCTATTAGAGTTGTATTCTAACTGTAAAGTTTTCAACCTATTATGATGCTTCATTGAAGAGTTATGCCGGATAAGAGGTAGCGGCCATTTTTTCAATGTTCCTAAAAAGTGCGGTTATACCGTTTAGAAAGCTTCGCAATCTTGTGAATAGTTGAGTATTGAAATAAGCGTCCACAAAAACCCTATTACAAAATTTTCACATTTTTTGAAGGATTTTGAGACGGCAGCTTTTTCCACATTGACACTATACATATGTTTCAAGTTTCTACCGTAATTCTACAGTAAGAGCGATCGGCGATTCGCTCCAAACTGTAAATCTAAGTTGAAGCCAGCTCAAAACATACCTGAAGTAAGGCAAAAGACATGTTGGGAAGAAAGATATCAACGATCAAACAGTGTATACATACTTTGCGGACACCTTGTATTTATTTTCGACAAATGTGAGTGTTGCTACTGCATCTCTACTACTCTTTGCCAGATAGTTCATAACAGGCACGCCAATTTCCCTATTCCTCCCCAATCGCTCTCCCTTTACGAACATTTTTCTGACAAAGGTCACTATAAAGGTATTAAAACCGAAAATAGAAAGAACTACTGTTTGCTGCGAAGTTTCCTCTTCTTTGTCATGACATCAAAAATGTTTGAAGTCCTTAGTTTGTTAACTTACATATGACTATCCCAAGATATCGACAGGCTTGGAAACTTATTGAATTTGCTAACAGGTGTGAAAGAATGATATTCCTTTTTGTCTGGTGAATCATGTCGAGTTACTCAGTGCCAGTGATAGATATATGATTAAGTTCCGTTCAAATTCAGCATTTTTACATCTGTGCTATTTGGTACTATCTGCGCCATTACATGTTGCAAATGCACATTTACTTGTGCCCTTTTCTAATAATTCCACTACAAGTCCTTGAAATGATTGACTTTCATCAGGTGTCGTAAATCTGCGAAGATGAACTGCCAATTAGTCTCATAAATAAGGTTGATCAAGCTAACGCCAGAGCGCTCAGCTGGAAGAATGACGAGGGAAAAATCTGCCCGTTTTATAAGAGAAGGGCGCATAACTTGAGTTCGTCTGCGTAATTCTGATGCTTCTATAAACTTGAGCTTTCGTTCATCATTTCATTAAAGCAAATATGGAATTGGCTTTGCGTCTCCATTGCTTGAGTTTATAAGCTGAAAGCGATTGGAATACAATTTATTTTGCTCATTATTTAGCTGATTTAATATTATTTGACCAGCAGACAAATGCTCATTCTTTTCCTCCAAGAAACTTCTCAAAAAACGGCCAAGTTGGAGCCCCGCAGGATTTTTTATAGCAAAAGTCTAATTCGTGTTGAAAACTTTCTCAATTTTGGCTTCAACTTTCCCCGATTACGACTCAGATGAATCGTTGGCGGTCACTATGTACAGCTTGCTTTACTCTATCGAATAGTGCCACAAGTTTGCTAGGAAAATGAGAGTAGCTTGATTTGCTTGACATTTTACTTCTGGCACAACGCAATCTCTAAGTATGAGGCAAGGAAAAGCGGTACTCGAACTGTATTGTTTTTTTTTGGCTCACTCACATCGTAAATGGCGCTGGAACCCGCCTAACTGATGTACATCTTCTTACTTGAGCTTAAGAGTAATGATTTTTCGAACAGAATTACACGCAATTCATTAAGCTAGTGTCTTATGGTATTTCTGGAGCGGTGATTCATTTTCGTACCTGCGCTTTTTTTCTGAAAGAGACACCAAATGCTATAGACTTATACGAACTGAAAAGATGCAGCTTGTGACAATAAGTAGGCTCTCAAAGTGGACATGGTAGTGGCTCACAGAGAAGGAGGGTGAAGTAGAATTTTTTCTAATTGGTCCACATTAATTGTAAAATCGTGAGTGCAGTCAAAGATAACCAAAATAAT